TACTTTTGCTAGAATTTGACTTAGAGATTAAGGATAAAAAAGGGACCGAAAACGTCGTAGCGGATCACTTGTCAAGATTGGAAGATATAAAACCCGAACAAGTGCCGATTAACGAGGATTTTCCATATGAACAACTGATAGCCCAAATAAGGAGCGACCTGGCTCAGTTAAACCTAAACGAACCAAAACCCAAGGAAGCCGTAAAAGCAATCCATGCAACCATGGGACTGCCATGGTATGCCGACATAGTTAACTATCTAGCTGCAAACGCGCTCCCACCAGACCTTACCTACTAACAGAAAAAGAAATTCTTCCATGATCTCAAATACTACTATTGGGACGAACCCTTACTGTTTAAAAGAGGACCAGACGGAATCTTCCGTCGATGCATACCCGAAGAAGAGATAGAAGATGTCATTTCCCACTGTCATTCATCTCCTTACAGGGGACACGTAAGCACTTCCAAAACTTGTGCAAAGAGCTTACAAGCCGGCCTATTCTGGCCTAATCTATGGAAAGATGTCTACATCGCTGTTAGAAATTGTGATCGGTGTCAACGCACCGGTAATATTTCAAGACGCGATGAAATGCCTCAAAGAGGAATCCCAGAGGTAGAAATCTTCGACGTATGGGGAATTGATTTCATGGGACCCTTCCCATCTTCTTTTGGAAACAAATATATACTCGTCGCGGTCGATTATGTTTCAAAATGGATCGAGGCCATAGCCTCTCCTACAAATGACACACGAGTGGTAATCAAACTCTTTAGAAACATAATCTTTCCAAGATTCGGTGTACCGAGACTCGTCATTAGTGACGGTGGCTCCCATTTCATCTCAAAGATATTCGGCAAATTACTATTTAAGTATGGAGTGAAACATCGTATAGCGACACCATTCCACCCACAAACCAGTGGACAAGTCGAAGTCTCAAACAGAGAAATTAAGCAGATCTTAGAAAAAACTGTAGCCACATCCAGGAAAGATTGGTCATCAAAGCTCAACGAAGCTTTATGGGCCTATAGGACGGCCTACAAGACCCCTATAGGAACTACACCCTTCAAGCTCGTATACGGAAAATCCTGTCACCTCCCAGTAGAATTAGAACACAAAGCGTATTGGGCAATTAAAACGCTCAACATGAACTACACTGTTGCGGGAGAAAAACGAGTCCTGGATTTAAATGAATTAGAAGAATTAAGATTAGATGCTTACGAGAATGCTAAAATATACAAAGAGACAACTAAAAAATGGCATGATAAGCGTTTATCTAGGAAAGAATTTAGTGTGGGAGATGTTGTACTATTATTTAACTCAAGACTTAGGCTCTTCCCTGGTAAATTAAAATCTAGATGGTTAGGTCCGTATGAAATTACAAAAGTGTTCCCTAGCGGAGCAATAGAAATTAAGGGTAGAAATACTGACCTGTTTACAGTAAACGGGCAGCGGTTAAAACAATACAATAACATTGAAAATAGAGACTATACGAATAGTCTAAGACTTTTAGAATTGCCCAATATTTCATCCGAATAATCTGCTGCTAGGCACTATGTCAGGCTTTTGACGTTAAAAACAGCGCTTAGTGGGAGGCAACCCACTTTTTGTTAATTGTTATTTGTTTCTATTTATTTATTTATTATACTTTTCATTTTTGCATTTATTCCTATTTAAGTTTTATTTTTCATTTTCTTTCTTTTGTTATAATTTTCATAAAACTGCTGCTGATTTCAAAATAATTTTAATTGCCACAGGATTTCTGAAAAGTTTTTGTTTCTCTTCTACCTTCTCTCCTGACTTGTTTCCCTGACTAACACTAACCATGGAACCAAAACCACATAATTTCTTGGAAACCACCTTTAGAGGTAGAAACCAAAAGAGAAAATTCGAGGAATTATCAAAAAGAAACATTGGTATGACACTTTATTATGATGAAGCCTCTGAAACAACCAAGAAGGATTACACTGATAATCTGAATAAAATTGTTACCACACTTGATACCTACCAGACTAACATTAATGGAATAAAAGACGAAATAAAAAGCATGCGTCTGGAGATAATCGGATTAACTGACATAACCGTGGAGCAATTTTATCACATTCATAATACACTCGAAGACATAAAAGTAAAGCTTGGATGAACTCACAAAAAGCAGCTCTAGTTTTATATTTCCTTTTGTTTTGTTTCTAAGAAGTTTCCCATTTTCGCATATTTTCAGTTTCGTTTTAATTTGGAACAAATTTACTTTTATGTAGTTTTTGAATTTCTGGTGTTGAACAAGCAAATTTATGGAATCAAAGTTTCAGTTATTTAGTATTCATTTGCTAGTTTCATTTATGCCAATTATAATGCTATACATAAAATTGCGAGCTTTGCTCTGATCAATTGATGTTTTGATGTTTTGGAATATATATATATATATATATATATATATATATATATATATATATATATATATATATATATATATATATTTGCATTTGCTTGGTATAACACTGAATGTATACTGCTATTGAAATGCCTCTGTGTAAAGATAGGATGTTGCAGAATTGGTACAGAACTGTCTGCTAAAAATTACATATTTTGCTGCTGTTACGACCGTCATGCCTGTGTTACGACCGTAACACGGGTTATATCAGTAACCCCTATAGCAGACAGAAGTTCTTCTTCTTCAACCTTTCCCTCTTCCTCCACTACTTCAAAACCGTCCCACTACCTCAATCAATCCCCATTCACACCACTTAACTCACCATTATTCTCCACTAATTTTCAAACTTCCCATTACTTTCCCTCATTATATATACATCTCATAAACCGTATCCCTCACCAATTCCAACCCACAACCCACTCTCTCTAACACTATTGCATGCAAAAATGGCAAACGTAAACCAGCAAATTCCAGGCATCCACTTACGCGATGGTGAACAAGGTGAAACCCAACGCACGAAGTTCTTGAAGTTTCAACGCCGAGGCCTCCATCCCACTAGGTACGTCGACATTGACTGCCTCAGAGACCTTGGATTGCTTCAAACACTAGTGCAGAAATGACTTTTTACATCGGGTAAAATTGACTTTTTACATCGGTTTTGGGTCCGATGTAAAGTCAGGTGATATAGTAAATCAGGGACTTTTTACATCGGTTCTGGGACCGATGTAAAAAGTCCCTTTTTTACATCGGTTATAATATCAGAACCGATGTAATAACCTGTTATTATGCATATTTTTTAAAAAATTGATCCAGTTTTTTACATTGGTTGGAAGTAATACCCGATGTAAAAAGTACCTTTTTTACATCGGTTATAATATATGAACCGATGTAAAAAACAATTATTATGCACATTTTTTTAAAAAATTGATCCAGTTTTTTACATCGGTTGGAAGTAATACCCGATGTAAAAAGTCCCCAGTGACGCGACTTTTTACATCGGTTATTATCTCCAACCGATGTAAAAAGTCCCTTTTTGAAAGTTTTTACATCAGTTTTACTAATAACCGATGTAAAATGTATGAAATTTTTTTGGAATAGATTATTTATTTTCTGGGTTTCCCTATACAAATATAATTTGTACCCATTTTTTCATATTTTTCCAATATCAAACAGACTATATTTATGTCGCTATATAGATTTCATAGCTTTCCAACATCACATATATCACATTTAGGACGATGTTTTCATATTTTTCACAACAAACTTACAAATTGAACAATTGTATTGCAAACTTGTATTGTATTACAACATACAAACTTACAATTACAAATTCTTCACAAAATATAAAACAATATTCAACTATTTATAAGTCTTTTTCAAAACTTACAATTACATAATATTCACAAAATATACATATACTAAAATATTCAACTATTTCTAAGTTTCCAAACTTGAATTACCAATATAAAATCTTCGGTAGACAACACCAAAATCATATTGCCTGACAATAAATAATAACAATTAACATCAGCAAAAAAATCAAGAAACTCAACACATGAGCAAAAACCACATGTATTGTGCAAAAACCATAACTTATACAATTCTATAAAACTCACCAAACTAAACTTAAGTTCCATGTAAGTCAAAGAAACATTTTGCCCAACGAAGTTGCAAATCATACAAATCATCTGGTGTTAATTCTGTTGGGTAATCAAATACCTATAATACATAAATATAACAATATAGAGTTATTTTTTAAAAATTCATATTAAGTCGAAAAACAAAAAGTAAAGAACAAAGTAAAGTTATTTTTAGTACCTGCATCCAATTCTCGGTTATATTAGCAGAGACAATATCCAACATATTTTTCATCACATAGTATCCACAATCATTAGAGTTATGTTGTTGCCTTGTCTACAATTGAATGACATAATTAGTGAATATTTATCGTATATATTTAACTATAGAATTACAATTTACATCACACTTACATTGGGATGAAGCCATGTAGCCTTTTTTCTATTTCCATTTGCCATTTGATGAATCCCAAAAGAACTAATACAGAAAGATATAAACATCACATAACTAAATATACTCGCCAATGAAAAATCACATAACTATTAGTTGTCAATGAAAGTCACATGAAAGATAAACTTACTTTGTAATAACTAAGGGAAGGATCCTTCCTTAAACGTAGTTTTAGGGGTGGACTGAGAAGCTTACATGTTACATTTAGGATTTTTATTGTTCTAACTAAGGATATCCTGCTGTGCGCAAGTGGTTGCATTCCTAAGATTATTCTAAAAAGAAAGTATCTGAATTAACTTTTTTGAATTTTTTTTTAAAAAAAAAAGTAAAAGCATTGTGAGGGATAGGTAACTAGACTAGATTGATAATAAGACATTATGACATCATTTGATATATGTAACTCATCCTAAAGAAAATATTTACGTGGTAATTGTAGTACTTGGTTATTTTAAAAGATAACTAATAATTGAAACAATATATGAATAAAAATAATATTCTATTGAAATTTGAAAGTTACCTGAATTTCACTCTGAAGTTGATTGATTCCTTCAGTATTGGAACAGAAATTCTGAACATTCAGGTTTTGTTCACAGATTTGTAATTTTCATATACTCATTTCAAAAAGAAAAGCTAATATCAAAATATAACTAAAGGAGTAACCGGAAAAGGCCAAAAATAGAAACAAGTAACCCACCAAGGAGACATAGTCTAAGAACCTTCTTCCTCTTCCTTGGACTTAAAGAAGTAAAGTGAGATAAAGTTTCTTCTAAAATAGATTCACCGTCCAGAAAATACACCTGATAATAGCAATACAAGCATAAGAAAATTAACAATAGAAACAAAAACGTTCTTCGGTATCAGAACTAACATATCAAAAGGCTTGCACACATTATCTCTCTCTTTCAATTTGTACTTGCTGTGAGTAAATAGTAGTGACCCTGTCGGCGATATACCAAGCAAGAGGTCTTTTGTTAGTGATTTGTATGTGATGATCCCTGGCCTAACCCTTGAGGTAGATATATATAGTTGCTTAGACCTAATGAAACATGCCATGCTTTCAGGCTTTTTCCTCGGATTTAGTCAGCATGACCCCGCTCCATCCGGGTCATGGCAGGTGACCTCTTTTCAAGGAAGTCTCCATACGTGTCTATCTCGCCCACGTGCCGCGCACGTGATCACCTTGTTGCCTCTCATTTAAGACCTCTTAAATGTCTCACGTGACTGCAGCATACTAGACCGAGATTGTTTGTAACATGTAGGCCTTGGGCAACAATGTATATGATGGTGGACTATCTTTGTTACTCCATCAACAAAAGCAGTTTATGGGAGACAAAGAAACCTATTCATTTTCTTTGAATGTCAATTTGTAAGAGGAACGAAACAAACTGAACTGCAGTTTCTGAAAGTGTCACTTTGTAAGTTAAAGAGACAAATGCATTACAAGAGCAGTACTCCTTTCCACTAGACCTTCTTCAACTAAGTATTCTTATATTATGACCCGATAGTATTAAGATTCATGAATTATGTAACGTAGAGCTGGTGTTCTCCATGACGGATAGCGGTCCACAGCGGAGAGCCAAAATCCCGCCATAACAGACACTTTGTGGCACCGTTATAGCGAATTGTGGCGGAAAAATCTGCAATATCGGCCGATATTTACCATTGCAGCAAACAGAAAAACCGCCATAGCGCCGCCACTGCAGATATTTGATAACACTTATATATAGAGTTATGCCATCTTAGTTTTGTCACTAGCAACATGAAAAGGAAGTTGAGTAACTGACTTTGCTAATTGTCAGAAAAACAATCCAACCTCTTTGACTCAACGTTGGAACCAAAAAAAAACATATATCTATTTTATTTATTGCATCACTGTAACAAATTTTCCTTGAAGGCCTATTGTTTTCCTTAAGTAGAACCTCCCAACTTATAACTAAAGACTTTATTTTAAGTTTTAACCCACAACCCTGAAACCTTTCACAGTAGCATCGCACTTAGCCCCATCATGCAGCAGGCTAATTATATTATCACAATCTGTTGAACCTAAATTAAGGTTTGAAGTGAATGAGAGAGAGAGAGAGGGTTCAATCTGCACCACTAGCATAACCTAAATTAAGGTTTGAAGTGAATGAGGGAGAGGGTTCAATCTTCACCTCTAGCATAATTCAAATTATTCTAACATTCTCTATTTCATAAGAAACATTAAGGTTTGAAGTGATTGAACAATGGAGCTAGTCAAACAAGTGTTTTCAATTAATCACTCCATCTTCTAAACTTTGCTATATATCTTTTCTAACATTTTGTATCTTCATCGAACATATTTCTGTCCAAGGTGAAGCTATCTACTAGCCATTATGTTAGATGTCAGGAAATCACAAAAAAGCATTCAATGAAACATCAAATAGGGCTGCATAATGTTTATGAATAAAAACCCTTACTAACCCACAAAAAATCCAACAAAACAGATTAACAAAATAAAAAACATAACCAGAACAACAACAACATAGTACTTAGAATTTTTTCGATCAGAACAATCAACAAAAATTTCTCTCTTACAGTTGAAACTCAAAGAGGAATAATGCTAATAATTCGTTTTTTAAACAAAAATTTGCACTTACAGTTGAAACGGCGAGCGAAGAGTTGTGAAGGTGAGCCGTTGACGGTGGGCGTCGGAGGAGAGACGACGAAGTGGGACGTAGGAGGGAGACGGCGTCGCGGCAGCGGTGGGCGTAGGAGGGAGACGGTGTGCGTCGGAGGACGGTGAAATGGCAAAATGGGAGGACGGTGAAACGGCGACGACGGTGGGTCGGAGGAGGAGAGACGGCGAAATGGCGAAATGGCGTGGTGGTGGGGGAAAATCTAGTCGCGGCGAAAATGGGTCAGAAAAAATGGGTAGAGAAAATGAAGAAGACTGTACAGTTCTCAAGTTATTATTTTTGTTTTTATTGCCTTTATTACATCGGTGGATACTTCACCCGATGTAATAGCTTGCCACGTTTGTGCTATTACATCGGTGGATATTCCACCCGATGTAATAGCTTGCCACGCCTTTATTTTTTTTTTGTTTTTATTACTTTATTACATCGGTGGATATTCCACCCGATGTAATAGCTTGCCACGCCTTTATTTTTTGTTTTTGTTTTTATTACTTTATTACATCGGTGGATATTCCACCCGATGTAATAGCTTGCCACGCCTTTATTTTTTTGTTTTTGTTTTTATTACTTTATTACATCGGTGGATATTCCACCCGATGTAATAGCTTGCCACGCCTTTATTATTTTTTTTTATTACTTTATTACATCGGTGGATATTCCAACCGATGTAATAGCTTGCCACGCCTTTATTTTTTTTATTTTTTTTTATTACTTTATTACATCGGTGGATATTCCAACCGATGTAATAGCTTGTGTTGACACGCGTTGGTTTTTTCTCTTTTTTTTAATATATCTTTTATTACTTTATTACATCGGTGGATATTCCAACCGATGTAATAGCTTTCTTATATTTTTTTAACGTTTTAGACACGTTGTCTCTTATTTACAAAAATGCCACCGTGTTTTTTTTTGTAAATCTTTTACATCGGTGGATGAGATTGCCCGATGTAATAGGTGACGAAAAAAAAAATTTCCTTATTTTTTATATCATTGTAATTAAATACCTGATGTAAAAAGTTTGTTAACTGTATTTTTTACATCACATATTTTGATACCCGATGTAAAAACTTTTTCTGAAATGTCTTTTTTTTAGTAGTGAAAGTGTCCAACATCTCCTTCAAAATGTCAACCTTTGGACCCTCTGTAGCCAGCCCCAACCCACGTACGAGAATCTCACTCTCGAGTTCCTCAGTTCCTTCTGCTACATCACTCCTAATGGTCCAACAAATCAACTTACTGGTGCAGTAAGGTTTCGCATTTTCGGAACCGAATACGACTTCTCTCAAAATGCATTCGGTCGATTACTCGACTTCTGTACTGATGAAGGCGCTCTCCTCCGTGTACCTGACACCTTCCATGAGGAATCCTTTAATCTATGGCATAGCCTGACCAACAACCGTGCTAGCTCCTACGATCACCTCAATGCCACACAAATTCATAATCCCTCCATTCGCTATTTCCATTGCATCCTGTGCAACACCATTTTCGCAAGGGACAGTAACCATAAGCTCAACTCCAAAGAGCTATTCTTCATGCACTACGCATTCACCGATCAGAAAATCAACGCCGCACCCTTCCTCTTGGCCCATATTCATTCCATTTGCACTCGAGGCGGAAAACCTTTCTACTTCGGAGGGCTTGTCACTTCTATTGCCTTGGCTTTGAATCATGGCGACACCCTTGCCCATCTGCCCTCCCGAGCACCGGTTTTGCTCACCTTGGACCATTGCAAGTCTACTCATGTCATTCACGAGCGGGACGACGGCAAGTTCAATCCAGTGATCTGGAACGTTGTTTATTCTAACATTGTTCTGCCTTGCAGGGACCGTATCGATCCACAAAACCGAGCCAATTGGCTATTTGATGCCCCTGACGGCCATGCTCTCGTGCACGATGACCAGCCGGATGCTCCAACTGACAAGATCCAGGAGGAATTGGACCGCGAAGCACCTGCTCCCGACATTCCTGAGTCCTCTTTTGCACCACCTACTTTCACTATAGAGGACATCCTCAGAGCCCTCCATCAGCAAAATCAGATGGGTGTAGCTCTTGAAAGGAACAATCAGGAGCAGTATGACACTCTATATGCACAGAACGTCCAAATTCTGATCGGCCAGCGCAATGTCAATGAGAAGTTGGACGAGGCTTTATCTGAGCTTAGTGCCTTACGGATGGAAGTAAGCGCTCTTGGCTCGCATGATACCGACCTTGAAGCCACACCTACCCGACGCTCCCGCACCCGAAGCAGAGGCAGAGGCCACCAGTAGTTTTCTTTTGTTTTTGTTTCTGTATTTCATTCATTTCCCTTTCCGTACCGTTTTTCTATTTGTAATCCTTCCTACCATATATCATGACATTGAGACAATGTCTGATATAGTATGGGAGAGGCATTATGCTTTTCATTCCGCATTTTCTTCATGTTGCAAATTCTAGTAATTTTATGGTAATTTTATGATATTTTCAAGTTTTTCAAGTTTTCCCCGTATTATAAGCCATACCAAAAAAATTCTCTGTTTGCATAGCTCGACATACCTACCTTAAACGAAAACCTAGTTAGGAAGACGAGAACGAGTAAACAAAATCAATACGATTATGACACCACAAACATCCTGCTTATGCAACCCGTCTAAACAAAACGTTATACGTACACCTCGATTTTTAAGTTCTGAAGTAACCCCTAGTAGTTTATACTAGCAGTCAGCACCGTCTGGACACAAACCACGTGGGGAGCCGATGAATATAAGTGTTTGATGCCTAATCAATGAAACACCCTTCTCATCTCGATGCTAAGCAAAGAAAATCTTGCACCAAAAGACAAAGATCGCATACGAGACATAAGTATAAGAGAAGAAGTCCATTGTTGGTTGGTTCAGAGGTATCTGGTTCTGAACTTGGTAGGGCGTGCTACGGCTCGATCCCCCGCAACCTCCGATTTGGAAAAATATAGGGTAACCACATCCGTGTACCATACCCCGTGACAAAAATAGGATCAAAGTCACTAACCGACTACTCCACTACGTGCGTGCAAAGACAAAGGGCTTAATGTGATTGCGCCAGAACGAAACTGGGCGAAAAAGCACGAGAGGATCGAGGTTGAAATGTGACGAAACGATTAAGCGGTTTGTTAAAGTGGAAATACGCGACTCAATTGTGTCATTGGCGTATCACTGACGTTTTACTCAAGTACCGGCCGACTGACGATTGGTTTTATGTGTTTTATCTCGAAAATCAAAGGTATGTCGTGCATGTGCGCCTGACGAACACTTGTCCGGTTTTTACGACTATTTGCTTGAGGACAAGCAAAGGTTTAAGTATGGGAGGATTTGATAACGAGAAATCGTATCATATATTTACTATGAAATTAAACTGCTTTATATCGTATTGACCCGATTAACTCCCGAATACTCCGAGTTTGTATGATTTTATGCAGGTACAACATATCTTAGCTCAAACTAGAAAGAAACATGAAATGTACAAGATTGCGGCCAAGACCAGAAGAGAAAAGATAAATCTATCAAAAATCCAAAATTTGCTGCTATTACGGTCGTCACACCCTTGCCACGACCGTAAGACACTTCAGAAGCGTGTTACGACCGTCATGCATTGGCCACGACCGTAACACACTATTTCATGGAATCTGCACGTAACACACCAGCCACGACAGCCACGACCGTAACAAGCTTTTATTAGTTATTTTGAACGTGCAGTATGTGGTCAAGTAACGAAGCATGCATGTGTGCCTTATTTTTCTCCAACGACCAAGACCACCTTCTCCTTATTTTTCTCAGCAAGCCAAGAATCTAGCAACGTGAAATATAATCCCAACTGTATTCATTCTCTATAAATAGCTTGGACTTCAAAGAAGAAATTACAGTGTTCAGTTCCGAAAATTCTTGCGGAAGCTCTGCCGATTTAAAACCCGATTCTATTTTCTGATTTTATTTTGTTCTTGTTATTCCCTTTCCTTTCAGAACCTTTAATAGCATTTCCAACATCAGGAAATTGCTATTGTAGTTAGGATTTCTTTCATGCCTCAGCATTTTGTTTATTTAATTTTCATTCCGACGTTCCGATCTTACCAGCTTGTGGAAGAAGGATCTAGGATACTATTGCTTTTCAGGTTTTTATCGTATTTAATATAATTACAATTTATTTATGTTAAATTTCTGTTCTTTATTTATAATGCATGTGTTATTGTTTTCTGATTTTATTTCCCGCATTTTAATTCCGAGCATTATGAGTAGCTAAATACCCGTAGTCGGGGTGTGATGAAATAACCGAATGAATTAATGTATTTCTAAGCTAAAACCTTAATTAACTTAATTTCTGGCCGTGACTTTTTATAATTAAAAATTAAGCTTTTTGTTACGAGAGTAAGGAAAGTAAAATAGGGAGAAATCAAGACCACGAGAGTGTGAGGTTTTAACCGGATAGCTAAAGTTAGGCATTCGATTTAAATACAGCGAGAGCGCTTTAAAACGAATTAGATTTATTTAGTTTTCCAAAAGATGCTTTCTAAACACTTATGGGCTAGCGAGAGCAGACATTTGGATTTAGGAGTATGATCTGAGGTAAGACCAAGAGAGTGTGAATCGAGGGTTTTTAAACTGATAAGTACTACAGAACAATTTAAGTTAAATATTTTTATATGCTTAGGTACAATTTAATTCGCATAGGTTCAAAACATTACACTCCGACCACTTTAATATTATAATTCTTTTAATTGAATTTAGTTTCTCCTTTAGTTTTAAACTTCTAAAAACCAAACGTGACAATTTCCGCCTTAGCTAAACTAACCTGTTTCATAACACTAGAGTGATTACGAAGTCCCTGTGGGTTCGACATCTTTTTATTACTACCGCGATAGACTGTGCACTTGCAGTTAAGATACCGTTAGACACATTAGGTCAATCGCACATCAAGTTTTTGGCACCGTTGCCGGGGACTTTAGTTTAGTCACTAGTGTATTCTGAAAACAACGTTGTCTAGACTAGGGCAACTTTTTATATTTCCCTCTGTTGTATGCCAAACACTCGTTCTCGAAGCGAGCCTTTGCATCTACAAATTAACGATATCGAGCGTTACTTAAGATTAAGACGCCGAATTCAAGAATACTGATCTCTCAACAATCTTCCTCCGACTAAAATTCCTGATATCCCGTTACCAGAATTTATCGGAGAATCGACAATGGCTGACGTACCAAATCCGCCTCACGCTCTTAAGGACTACGCAGTTCCTTCGCAAGCGGAACCTCACAACAGCATTGTTGCTCCTGCTATTGCTCGAAACGATTTCGAGCTGAAACCTTCGCTTTTATCCGCCATTCAGCAGAACCAATTTTCTGGATCTCCTACTGACGACCCTAACCTACATCCGTCAGTGTTTGTGCAGTACGCAGACACTGTAAAAGCGAATGGTGTAAACCCTGAGGCGATACGATTGTGCCTATTTCCTTTTTCTTTAAGAGACAGAGCCCGAGCCTGGCTCCAATCTCTCCCTTCAAATTCAATCACCACATGGGATGAATTGAAGAAAGTCTTCTTGGCTAGATATTTCCCACCAAGCAAAACTGCTATGCTTAGAGCTAACATCAATGGTTTTAGACAAAAAGATAACGAATCACTTTTCGAAGCATGGGAATGTTACAAGGATATGATTAGACTCTGTCCTCATCATGGTTTAGAAGAATGGCTAATCATTCATACGTTTTATAACGGTCTCTTGTATAACACAAGATTGACTATAGACGCCGCTGCTGGTGGCGCACTGATGGATAAACCATATGCCGAAGCAAATCAACTTATCGAAAGTATGGCCCATAACCACTATCAATGGGGAAGCGAAAGAGCTAATGTGGAGAAATCCCAAACCAAAGGTGGAATGTCTGAAGTGAATATTCTGGACCAAGTCAATGCTAAAGTGAAAGCTCTTACCCAAAAGTTAGAAAACCTTACCACTACTCCTGCAGCTACCGTAGCTGCAGTTGTCCAAACTTGCGATCTATGTGGTCTTCAATCACATCCTGCTCCAGAATGCCCACTTCTAATGGGAGTTCCAGCTGAACAAGCAAATTACGTACAAGGGAACCCTTATAGCAATACCTATAACCCTGGTTGGAAAAATCATCTGAATTTTTCATACAAAAGTAACAACGCATTATACGCACCTGGACAAGCTCCTGCCACACCACCCGGTTATCCAAAAGCTATCCCAAATCATCCTGGTAATGGACCTAATACTCCTAGGAAATCTAACCTAGAAATCATGATAGAACACTTCATTGCTTCCCAAGCTCACACTAATAAAGACGTTATAAATCAGAATTTATAGACTAATGAGTAGATAAAACAATTAACTAGCAAAGTTGATGCTTTAGCCACCCATAACAAGATGCTTGAGACGCAAATTTCACAGGTAGCTCAACAACAAGCACCTACTGCAGCACCGGCTGGAATTTTTCCTGGTCAACCACAGCCCAACCCAAAAGGACATGCTAATGTTGTGATACTGAGAAGTGGAGAAGAACTCGACAGACCTGTTGACCCAAGACTAGAAAGTCCAGCCATGTACCAAAAACAGAGCGAGCCGACTGAAAAAGCCAATGAACCTAAAGAAAAAGAAAAGGAAAATGAAACTCAAGAGGCCGTGGAGCAAGAGAAGCCTTATGTACCTCCACCACCTTATAAACCACCAATTCCGTATCCTCAGAGACTCACAAATTCCAAAACAATGGGCCAATTCAAGAAATTCGTTGAACTTCTGAAACAACTCAATATCACAATACCTTTTACAGAAGCCATCACTCAGATGCCCTCGTACGCTAAATTTCTCAAGGAAATTCTATCTAACAAGAAAAAGATAGAAGATAACGGAACAGTTACACTCACTGCCGAGTGTAGCGTGATCATTCAAAACAATATGCCTCCTAAGTTAAAAGACCCAGGTAGTTTCTCTATACCTTGT